GATCTGTGTATTTGCAAGAAATTTATTTGCTGTCAATTTTAAATTTTATTACATTATGGTCAGATAAGATGAGCAAAACTGCTTCAAACTTTTTGAACTTGTAAGAATTTGTTTTATGTCACAAGACGTGATCTTATTTTAGAGACGTGACCATATGCTGCTGAGTAGGAAAAATCAAAGACCTAAACATGAAATGCTGAAGCTGCTGGAGTCAAACTAGGCGGTACCCACATGACAGAAGCGTAGGGGAGGACTTCCGGAAAAGGATCCCATTTGCACAGGAATTAGGATCAACAGTTGACAAGTGGGACCTCATAAAACAAGATTCTAAACAAGTGAAGCAGAAGCCTGTAGAACAAGTGAGAATTTGAAGGAGACCCTCTAACCTCAGCTTTCCTAAAACATTCTGAACTCCATCATATTTATCCTCATACCCACAGGTAAATACAGCCCTTGCCCCTCAGCAAGTTTTTTGTGCCACAGATGGAGACCATTATGGAAACCAAAACCAATCAAGTCCCAATGGATCCATGTACAAAACAATTCCTGTACCCGAGGTTTAGGGAGCGTCATGGAAGAGGAAGCAGGATTGTAAAAGCTTGAGGTGAGATCGTGTCTCCTAGCAATGCCAGAAGGAACACTCGGAAAGTCTCTCCAGCAGGACTGCCTAAACCTGAGATGAAAAGGGCAGCAATAGACATGCAAATGTGGACAGGGGAAAGACCTCAAGGCCTCAGTCTTCTGCAGAGAGTTACAGGAAATTGAGGAGAACTAAGCGCAGGAGAGACAGTGTTCCCCAGGGAAGAGCACATCAATTTGTTATGCAATGCTGAATGGTCAGTCTGAAAATATACATAGAAGCAACACTTACGCACTGAGAAAGCTTTATTGATGTATTTAGGAATACACACACACACACACACACACACACACACACACACACACATATATATATGTCCATATATATATACACATATGTATATATATATATACATCAATGTAACAACAATTAATCGGGAGGGAAGTCCATGAATTTGAAAGAGAGCAAGGAGGGGTATATGGGTGAGTTGGAGCTGGGAGAAAAAGGAAGAGGGATGTAATTATATTATAATCTTGAGAAAGAAAATACTTTTAAAAAGTATTTTCTTTTATAATGTTCTAAACTCAGTTGGTGTCTGTTGTAATGTTTGCCTGACCATTGCTGATTCTGTTCATTTGGGGTCTTTCTTTCTTTTGCTTAGTTAAGTCCAGGGGCAGATGATTTTGTTTATCTTCAATTTATTGACAGACTGTCTTGGCCTTTCCTATTTGTGTTTTTGTGATGAGATTTGGCATGTTGTTGATTGTAAGTCTGATGTGAGATTAGCTTTATTTTGCTTTTGTCTAAGCTTGCTTGTTTTCAGATTAGTTGTGAGGGACTGGTAGGTTGACCCTTCAGATACTCAGTGTTGACTTTTTTTCTTAGACTGTGTCCAATTCTATATTAAGCAAGGGAATATGTGAGTGAGACAGATGGTTGGATTTCATTGATGTGCAACCCATATTACTCAAGATTTACCTGGGAATATGAGGATTCTATGGGTGGGCTGGGCAATTGGCACTCACCTTCATAGACTGGCATAGAGGCTGTGGACCTAAGCCGAAGGTTTGGGATGCCATGGATATGTGATTTTCCAGGGCCTTAACTATGTGGCTGATGCTTGACCTGAGGATTGGGGATAGGGTGAACATCTGAGGTTATAGGGATTCATCAGGCTATGGCAGCACACAGATATATATATTCCAGGATAAGCCTGAAGGTTGGATGCGGTACAGGCTGGGTAGAGTTCAGGAGATTCGCTAGACTGGACTAGCATACAGGATGTGTGACCTAGGCTAAGTCTGGAGATTCAGTACAGCATGTGGAGGATAAAATCTGGTGAACTCAATACCTGGGTCTGGCACAAAAGGTTTGCCACTGGAGCCATGCCTGGAGACTGAGAATGGTATAAGACTCTCCAGACTAGGCTGGGGCACTCAGTATGAAACCTGGGCTGGGTATGGGGAGGTTTTGGTAGAATGGGGTCAGGTAGACTCATCATTGCTAGGTCAGGGCACAGTATGTAGAGCATGTGCTGGTCCTGGAGGGCTCCATCAGCTTTTCCTTCCTGTATATCTTTCCTTTCCTTCCTTTTCTTTCCTTCCCTTTCTCTTTCCCTTCCCTTCCCTCCCTTCCCCTCCCCTCCCCTCCCCTCCCCTCCCCTCCTCTCCCCTCCCCTCCCCTTCCTTTCCCTTCCTTTCCCTTCCTTTCCCTTCCCTTTCCCTTCCCTTCCCTTCCCTTCCCTTCCCTTCCCTTCCCTTTCCCTTCCCTTCCTTTCCTTTCTTTTCCTTTCCTTTCCTTCCCTTTCCCCCTTTTCGTTCCTTCCCCTTCCCGTTTCTCTTTCCCTTCCCATTCCTCTTTCCATATCCCTTCTTATTAAGGTTGGATAAGGCAACCCAGTAGGAGGGAAGGGTCTGAAAAACAATTAACAGAGTCTGAGACAGTCCCTGCTCCCAATATTAGGAGGCTCACAAGAAGATCAAGCTACCCCAACTATACAATATGTGCAGAAGGTCAGTCCCATGCAAGCTCTCTGATTGGCCTTTTTTTCAGTCTCTGTGAGCCCCTATGGACCCAGGTTAGTTGATTCCAGTTTCCTTGTGATGTCCTTGACCCTTTGTTTACCCAGTCTTCCACGGGATTCCCCAAACCTCTCCTAATGTTTGGCTGTGGGCTTTTGCATCTGTTTCCGTCAGAAACTGGGTGAAGCCTCTTTGATAACAATTGGGCTAGACAACAATGTAAGAGTGTAGTGTATAGTAGAATAGCCTTAGGAATCATTTCATTGACATTTTTTGTTTTTATTGCCAGTCATGTTTGATTCTTTCCTAGGTCTCTGGGCTGTCAAGCCTCTGGTCCAGTCCCTCCAGGCAGTGTCAGTGGTGGGCTCTGTTTTATGATATGAGTCTCAAGCTGGACCAATCATTAGTTGGCTACTCCCATAATTTCTGCACCACTCTTACCCCAGCACATCTTGTAGCAGGGCAAATTGTAGGTCAGAGGTTGTGTGGCTGTGTTGCAGTCCCAGTACCACCAGTGGAAGTTTTGCCTGGTTGCATGAGGTGGCCGGTTCATGCTTCATATCCACCAGTACTCGGAGCCTTAGCTAAGCTAAGATTAGATTAGATTCCTGGGAGTTTCCATTGCACTAGGTTTCTTCTTCATCTCAAAGATGCTCCCTGACTATGCTCATAGCAGCTTTATTTATAATAACCAGAGATTGGAAATAACCTAAATGTCTATCAACCAAAAAAAGATAAAGAAAATGTGGTGCATTTACACAGTGGAGTATTACTCAGCTGTTAAAAACAATGGCATCATGAGGTTTTCAGGCAAATGGATGAAACTAGAAAAGATCATCCTATGTAAGGTAACCCAGCCCCAGAAAGTATGGTATATGGTAACTCATAAGTATATATTAGTTATAAAGTAAAGGAAAACCATGCTAAAATTCACAGCCTTAGAGAAGCTAAGTAACAAGGAGGGCTCAAGGTGGGAGGGTGCACATGAATTTCTCTGTGAAAGGGAAAAGAATACACATCACAGGTGAATTAGGGGAGGGGGCTGGATGGGTGTGGGCATGGGAACAGGAAGATCGGGTAGGGAGAGGATGGGGGAAGGGAGTACTGGAAGATTTTAAATTTTCTATGTGGATAGTCTTTGGGTTATGGAACTTTGGGAAATAGCTACTTGCACTGGTTTCTAGTTTGAACACTTGTGTGAAGGAAGTAAAATGAAACAAAAGACAGACAAAGTTCAGTATCTAATCACCACTAATTTATTGCCAATATCAATGCAATCTAGTTATTTGAATCCAAAGACTTAAAGCAAATACATTACAGTCAAACAAAGAATTCTATGACAATGGTAAGCTTCCTTTCCATCTGGCTACTGATGATAGTTCTACACAGGGGGAGAGTACATTACTTGTTTTTCCATACTGTAATATGTCGAAAGAAATAGAAACAATTTCTTACAAATGGAAGTGAAGATCTTTCTTGCCGAAATCAAGTTAAAACTCACGCTTGAATCCTTTGGTCCTGTACCACTTTTCCAATGGATATAGAGAAACATCTGAAGCAAAAACTTAATGGCATTTATTCACCTACTGATTTAAAATGTACCAAAGAAGTATCTTGGTGATTTGGGTAAAAATAGAAATCACTAATACTCTATCCTGTTTTTTCCTCTTTGTCTTACCATCTAACATTAAAAATTAAACTGTGTGCTGACATAAGATAAAGCTTTGGCGACTGCAATGATAATACATTTATTATATATAGTTCTTTACAAATAAATGTATAATTTATTACAACTTTAGCATCACCCCACCTAAAATATAATTTTCAGATAGATACCTTAACCAAACCCCAAATTCTTTAAATTATTCTTCCAAACTTAATCACACTAAACCCCAAAGTTTTAAAGTTAGTCTTCAAACTTATTCCCCAAACTAAGCATTTATCCAGTGCAATATTCTAAGTATCCCAAATATCATGCATTATTCGGGAGGAACTCAGTAACAAGGAATATAGGCTACGTTTCATTTAAAAGAAAAGAATGAGAGCAGATATGTCCAAATTGAGAAAGAAATTACATGAAAAGTTTTGCAATTTCTCATTTCTTAAATTAAGATTTAAGTTAATTGTAGCTCATTTCCTTACTTACTCTGAGAATTAGCGTCTCTGCTCTTGGACATACTCATAGAGGGGAGTGCTGCTATTGAAACTGTGAGAACCCAAGCCTGTATTTCTCATTCCAGAGTTCCCTTCCCTGATGCTCTGATAGTCAGGGTCACCTTGTCTACGGTCTGCATTGTAAAGTGACAATTGACCAGTAATATTGGATCTACTGTGTCCACATGGAGGTGTAAATTGTCCAAAGTCACAACCTGAGGAGGTTTCTACTTGCTTATACACACTTACTGGCTGGTTTTCATGACAAATTGAGGGGCTACAGTAAGATTCCCAATGGTTTCCACATCTCCCATATGATTGAGGTTGCTCATAACTAGAATATTGGCCATATCCAGAACCACATGATCCAGAGCTAAATGAGTTACGTGAATCACACCCATATTGTTGCGAACTAGGACACAGACCAGATCTGGGACAATTTTGAGTAGAGATAGAAGAGGGATATGAACAAGACCCATACTGTTCCGAGCTAAAACCCTGACTACACCCAGCCACAGGTGTTCTCTGGCTAGAATAATGACTTGAGGGACATCCATATTGGCCATAGTTAGAGGACTGACTTGAACCAGACGCTTGTTGACTACAGCAGGTAGATTGGTTTGAATTAGATCTGCACTGACCATGTGAGTATGACTGTCCATAGCTAGAAGATTGATTTATATTAGATCCAGATTGGGGGTAAGAAGACTGACCAGGACTAGGTATTTGATTACCATAGCCAGAACAATCTACTGAGCCAGATCCATACTGGCCAAAGTTGGAAGAGTCTCCACAGGTATTCCCACTACTACTACAGGAGGAAGAATGATAGGATGCAGGCCTTTGGTGGTCATAGCTAGAAGACTGCCAGGAAGATGAAACATGCTGATCACAGTTAGAAGACTGACCTGAGCTACAGTGATGAGGCCTGGAATATGGCATTTGTCTGGATGGTGAGCAACTTTGTCCACTGCTAGATGAAGAACCAGTGCCAGATTCATGCTGACAACTAGAATAGGACGGTCCAGATGAAGAATGTTGTTGACCACTAAAAGAAGACTGACCTTGCCCAGATCCATGTTGACTACAGCCAGAAGACCCTCCTGAGCCAGACCCATATTGTTGGGAGCCACAAGACTCCCTTGAGCTAGACCTGTGCCTTTCTTGGCGTGAAGCAGATCCATGGCTGCTTCTTGATGATGTGCCACGCTGGGTACTACCAGAAGTCTGACCTTGTCCAGACCCGTGCCTACCAGAGAAAGACGTTTGCCCTGATGTAGAACCGTATTTCCCTGAACCACAAGACTGTCCTGACCTAGAGCCTCTTGTACTCTGGCTAGAAGACTGAGTTGTCCCTGAGTTGTGTGTCCCATAGCTGGAAGAGTGACCAGAGCCAGAGCCATGCTGGCCATGTCCAGATGAATGTCCAGAGAAGGAACCCTGTTGGCCACCAGCAGAAGACTGACCTTGCCCAGATCCATGTTGATTAAAGCCAGAAGACCCTCCTGAGCCAGACCCATATTGTTGGGAGCCATAAGACTCCCTTGAGCTTGACCTGCTTCTGCTGTTCCTAGATGACTGGCTCCTTCCTGACCCATGCTTGCCATAGGTAGTGGACTGACCTGAGCGGCCGCTTGATGAGTGTTCTGAAGAAGTACCATACTTTCCAGTACCAGATGACTGTCCTTGCCCATATCCTTGCCCTGTGGAGCCAGAAAAGTGTCCCGATGCAGAACCAGATTCACCTAAACGAGAAGACTGTCCTGAACCAGAGCCACTTCTACTCTGCCTAGAAGACTGGCCTGAACCTGCATTGTGTTTTCCATTGCTGGAAGACTGACCAGAGCCAGTGCCATGCTGACCATAGCTAGAGGACTGACCACAACAAGAGCCATGCTGATGACTACCTGCTGACTGTCCAGAGAAGGAACCCTGTTGACCACCAGCAGAAGACTGACCTTG